TATAATCAGGCCAGTTTCAATTATTTTGGTAATTTATTTAAAAATACCTGTCAGCAAGTACGTCTGTAACAATACAGGGAACAAAGCAAGATTCAGGAAATGTTTTTTAGCCAAATTCCTTACTAGGCATATTAATACAGAACTCAGTAATTCATTTAAACTACACAACTGCTACCTGTCAGCTGTGTGTTCTCGGGGAACCAAGGCGCAGTACCCAGCCTGTCTGACTCACAAAAGACCCTCTCCCCTCCCCCCAGCCTCTGCTTGAACCGAAGCCGATCAGAAGAAAGACTTACAAAAAGCAATGACAAGGCCGTGGGAGACGCACCTGAACCCTTGGGACAAGGGTGACAGGATTAAGGAAACTGCCCTAGGCTCATTTGCATGGAGGATGGGACAAGGAGACATTTCCATTAGCTACAGAACGGAGAACAGAGATTCCAAGGCGAGAACCGCACGGTACTCTGGGACCAGAGAAGCAGGGAAGCAGTGCATGATGGGGGATCTCTGCTCCAGACGTCAATGAACGCGCCTGCACACCCCCAGCTCAGCAGTTATCAGACCAGTTCTAGTCATAAATCCTTGATTGGGATCCAACATAGTGACGCTCCCGAATTGCACTGTGAGCTCCCTCCAAGGGACACCGCCCAAAGCCAGGAATGATCAGCTCCCATGTCTAGCCTGAACAAAACAACTCTGGTATCTCCCTTGTTTACACACAAACAGATCGAGTGTTCTCCCTTCAACCACTGTTCTTTCCCTACAAAACCCCCGACCCACGCTCAAGTGCTCTGATGCCTGGATCCAAACTCTGCATCAGTTCCACTGGGACTTCATCTTCTCCTGACTGACATGCTGGGGGCTCTGCCTTCTCCAGCACTCCGGACCCTCAGCTACCACCACCACCTGGGACCCCGATCGATTCAAGCGTGTGTGTGTGCGTGTGTGGCTGGAGGAACCCAGCCCGGGGGAACCTAGGTCCTGCAGGACAGCTCCATTGGGAGGGGACATGCAGCAGGAGAAATAGAGCTTCATATAAGAACACGAGTGACACAAGCAGTACATTGATAGACATACAGACACCCCCTCCCAAAGAGTAACCCTAATAAATGACCATACCCCAAAGTAATGGGCAAAGCTGGTAACACTACAGAAACGTATTTCCCGCACCCACTCAGAAGCAGTGACATTATAATGCCACTATATAAATCCTTGAATATGTGTACAGTTCTGGTCGCCCCACCTCAAAAAAAGAGACTAGAATTGGAAAAGGTTCAGAAAAGGGCTTCAAAAATGATGCGGGGATGGAACAGCTGCCGCATTAGGAGAGATTAGAAAGACTGGGACCGTTTAGCTAAGAACAGAGCCGACTAAGGGGAGATGTGACAGGGCTATAAATCGTGAATAGTGAGGAGAGAATGAATCGGGAAGTGTTATTTATCCCTTCCCATAACACAAGAACTAGGGGTCACCCAATGAAATGACTAGGCAGCAGGTTTAAAACAAACAGAAGGAAGTATTTCTTCACACAACACAGTCAACCTGTGGAACTCCTTGCCAGGGGGATCTGGAAGGAGGGGACTAGCTGGCAGCGGTCCACATGCACAAAGGGGTCTGGGGAGGAGGGGTGATTTGGGGAACGTGTGTGCAGGGGATGTAGGGGGTGCAGAAGTAAGCATGATGAGTTGTGGCTGGGGGACCAGTGGCTGGGGGAATTTGGAGGACAGGAGACTGGAGGCAAGTGCAACGTCCGTGCCGGTTGTTTTGCGCGTGTGCCCCAGGGTGGGGTAAAGCAGCCAGCATGAAACCAGGGAAACCGGCCACAAGTTCCCACGTTGAGGGGCTGCTGATTCCCTGCCCAACGCTGCTCCCTGGGCACCCCCGGGGCCGCTAGCAGCCTGCTGCCGTCATGGGTATTAATAGCCCTGCCTGACCATATCAGGGCTTGTCTGGGTCCCTGGGGCCGCGCTGCTGACAGGTGCGCTGGCCGGGGGCCCGTCCCTGCCGCTGGCTGGGAGCCTGCCAGCCCCTCGCAATGTCACACGCTCAGGACGCTTCTGTCCCCCCCAGACAGGCCTGGCCTGGCTCTGCCGGGAGCCCCGGTGCCTGGGGTGGGGCTGCAGGGACGGCTGGGGGTCAGGCCTGCCCCGCCCGGCTCCCATGGGCCCAGGGGTCACGGCTGCTTCCAGCTGTCCTGGGCTGGGGCTGAGTCCCTGCAGGGCCCCGGGGCAGGGGGCGATGGGGAACCCCTCTTCTAACGCCCGGGGGCCCGTCGGCCTGGGCCCCCTGTGCCCCTGCCCCCCAGATCTGACCCAATCCCCCCTGGCTATGCACCCCACCCCACGGATCTGACCCAGCCCCCCCGGCTGTGCCCCCCCCCCAGATCTGACCCAACCCCCCCTGGCTATGCACCCCACCCCACGGATCTGACCCAGCCCCCCCGGCTGTGCCCCCCCCCCAGATCTGACCCAACCCCCCCTGGCTATGCACCCCACCC